TATATATGTATGTATATAGGTATGTATATATATTTATATATATATATATATGTTTGTGGGTGTCTGTGGTTGTGGGTGTACATGTAAGTTGTCTGTATATATATATTCATGGTAGCCTGGTCTTGGCTCTTTTCAAAAGCATATTGATTCCTAGAATTCTGCGTAGTTTCACACACAGAATTATCTTGTAGAATTAACCACACCCCCAGCCTGTCATTTGGTTCCATGCGCATTGCCCTTGTTATAGTGCGAGTGTGTTATGATATTTACATGTGTGGTCGATCCACTTATTTTTCCTCGTCAATTTATTCGTTCCAGGAAGATTGGGATAGAGTACTTGACCAGCAGTGTTACAAAACAGTACATCGGTACAAAAAATCTTTTGTTGTATCATTTAGAGTGTTATCTATGATATGCGTTACGTGGTTAGCTGTTATTCTTGAAATTTAAATCAGTTATGCATGTCGCAGAACATCTCACAGAGCACTGTCCATCATACAACTATGTCAGCGATAAAGTGAGAGAAATTAGCACAATTGCATCTATGCCTATCTATTACATCTCTCGTTTGCTGCCCGAGTGACACCGCCCATTCAGGTATTGAATCCCATACAATCATCCGAATAGCAATATGAGCCTTGGCTACAACATTGACGACCTCTATGTGTTTTTTCTATACTTGACGCATCTGTCTTATATTGCACAATTCTGCAGCAGCCGCGGGTCCTCCTCGGGCCATACCTGGTGGCAGCTCCCGCCTTGATGCTGCCTCTATGGGTGCTGTGGTAGGTTTTAATCTACTTGTTTGGATTGTGTGCTGTATATGCAATTTTACCGCCTGCTAAAACTTACTTGGCGGATGCCAGATACATCGGAAATGTGGAATATAAGTGGTAATGTATCGTAGGCAGTCTGTGGATTATATAGATGTGTTCACTATATAGAGTTAGATAGGAGATTTGAACAGCACTTGGGTTGATTTGGATGCAGCTTTGTTCTCAGTGGCTGTTCCTCTTCCCCAACGCCCAACACTCCCATCGTTTCACTTCGACCTCACATAGGTTGACACAAGCATCCGCGTCAGTCACTTAGTGCAAATATTATTCACATCTCCACTCACAACCCAGAGTTTGACCCTAATATTCTGGGCCCTTGAACGTTCTGCCACAGCAGTTGCTATTTCAAATCATCGACTGTCACTCACGTGTATGTTTTTCATACTCGCGAAAATAGCAAGAGCAACTCGCTCAAAACCCAGAAATGGCTCAGGAAGTGTTCGATCTTCTGGGGCAACAATACCCTGAATTCGCCACCGCTGAAGGGCACGCGGCGTTACAAGAGATCTTCAATGACCCCGAAGCCCTCGCACAGCTCTTGAGTGCCTCCGGTGTGGACGAGGACGACGATGCGAATGATGGACTTGCACACGTATGTAGTGCGTGTTCTTATGTGTGGTTATGGGTGTGGTAGGAGCCTTGTTCAAGTGTGTAGGCCTGGATGTGCCCCCGTCCCTTCCTTTCCGTTCCGTTCGTCTTTATCGAAGCAACGATCCCGGGGCCTTGGTACAGCTCTCAGGTGTGTCCGATTTGAGCGAAATGGCGATGCGTGCACCGGTCCTGCATATGTATTTAAAGTTTAGATGAGCCCGTATGTATTCACCCTTATGTATTTGTCGTGTCTATTACTGTGTGATCTGTGTTCAGGACTGTCTGTGTTCTGCCTCTAGGATCGCCTATTATTGACAAAACACGTCATATGTATCTTGTGCAACTTTTCAATTGTATGTTCTCACCTCAACTATGCGGTTACCTTTGTGACCTTTGCTATACAGGTATTCTCATCAGACGAGCTCTCTGATGGTATCGACAGTGTATTCAGTGCGCTGAGTCTATCACCTTCTACAGATGTACATATGGAGCCAGGAGTATTCATGCAAGGCTTCGTATCAGCCATCAATGCCTTAGCGGAGGTATAGAATTGTATTGCAGACTTTCAATTTTTGTTGTCATATTTACTCTGCTGCTCCATAGAGAAATCTTCTGTTCACCACTGGCAGCTACAGTGGGAATTTTCCATGCGTGACCATGAATAACATACTGCAGAAGGTACACATACAATGCCTCACTTGTATGTATATGTAAGCATATGAATAGATTCGACATATCAGTAGTGTCTACAGGTTTCCGATATATCATCATCACAATGTATGATTACATCTCCGCATAAATACAGAATGCTATTGCTCATTTTTTTCATTGTAACCCGAGGGTTTGCCCAGAAGTAACCATGGTTTCCCACAAACACAATCTATTATTGATTCCTGTATCACGTATCGTCTGATATCCTCAGAGTTTTCAACATGGCATGGGGGGCGTTCCCCCTACCCCTGGGTCAGCAGGTACGGCACAACAACCAGCGCGACAACAACAGGCAAGGTCACCGGCTGCGCCTGCCAGAGTATACATTACACGGGAACATCTTGCTGTAAGTCGTGTGCCCATAACCGAAATGTATGAATTTTCCTTTGAAAAAATATCGAAAACACGCACCCATACATGCAGATACAGCCTTGTCGGTGCGTGTTTGCTGAATTTGCAATGGGTTGGTTCCAGTATGTGATGGTCAAAGTATTACATGTTATATTAATTACAAACGCATAACCAGTAGGCTTGTGACTGGTTTTGAAATGTGGAATTGCACGTTAAAAATCGTTTTTTAGTTTGCTGGTGACCGATTTTAATACCTGGGACTTGTATCACAAATCATGTTATGTGCAGTCGAAGCCTCGGTGGTTACCAGCAGTTTAACCGAGTATCAACGTTCGAGGAAGGACCCGTGCCAAATTTTATTACATCAATCACATCGTCTGTAAACGTGCTGTACATATGCTCGTGTTGACATTAGATAGGGTTAATTCTAGTTGGTTCTGGTGTACATATATTGCATCTGGCTGCAGAGTTGAACTACTATGTCTGTACCCTAGCTGAAACGATACGCTCAATACATTTTAATTATTTTTAGTCTGATACACCTCAATACCATTTCGATTTCTACGTGAGACCTATCCTCAGGCTAAGAGTCGCATACAACCCCAGAGTACAGTTGGACACACTATGCTCCACAGGCTTCGACTTCGAGGGTTGTGCGCGCGAATTTTATTTTAGACGGCTAAACAGGTTGTTTGAAGTTTGTCTTCAATTTATCTATAATGACACCGACCTCCGTTTTTATCAATTTCAGGAGTGCATGGAGAATGTCATGCGAAATGTGCGATGATTTACGTATGGTATAGCTGGTCTGGGCGTGGGTCGGTTAAGAGTGCGCTGTGGACTTGTTTTTGCGGGAAACTGACAGGTTTAATAGAATTTCAAAGTCATCGATAAAGCCACAAGAGATACAACTCAATGACCAAAAGTACTCTATAGACTACCTAATATACATATACGATGCCTGAGAAATAGACTCTGATTCCCTTGCTACATTCTATGAACACGTCTTCTCGTAGTAGTAGTTATGGACACGTCTTAACTCCTCTCGTAGCAGTAGTCCAAGTTAATCTAGCGATATTGTAATGGTGCCTCCATTCTGTGCCTTTGGCCCTGTGTATAAAAAAAGATTTGTATTTTCATAAATAAAAGGAGAATTCTAAAACCTGGGGCCTGGGGCCTAAGCTCATTACGTTTTGGGGGTCCCAGCCGCTAACCTCAAACCGTTTCCGTTAAACTTTTATTCCATATATACGGTCCTTTGTATGCTTATAGGTGCACCTTGAAGGTCTAAACATTTAAGTGTGTACCGATTTCACTATACGAACCAGTCCTTAAAAAGAATTTAGGTAGGCTCTTCTGATCACTTTATAACAGTTATAACGTTTTAAAAATTGAATAAAAAAGCGTTTACATTAAACTTCTATCCCGTACCCTGATATTTATTTACTAAAAAATATCATTGTAGTTTTCTTTACAAAATAATACATTTACCTATAGGCCGAACACGAGTGAATTCGCTTTGCAACAAATGATGCAGTAAACGTTTAACGTACACACGAAAATGATTGAATTTTATTACGTTTAAACGTAAAAAGGAAATCTGCCCATCACTCGAAGATTACACACAGTTGATATCCTCAAAATACTAAAAATCATAAACGTTTACCTTTATTTATTTTGTTTTTAAAGCGTTTTGAGAAACGAACAGAGGTTCGCTTCCAGGCTTCAGAACCGGGAACGTGAACAAAAGTAAAAATATCACATATATAGTATGTATTATTCATATAAAAAAGTACATAGATATTACGTAAGCTTCAATATTCTAGCATTCGATTATTATCAGTATCCGCCATGTTTCGCATATCACGGACTATACTCAATGTAGATGCAAATGCACTTGCACTAGTGGCTAGGGTACGAAGGGCTACCATAGGACGCAGTACTATATGTGCATTGCAGTCACAACAGGGTCACAGAAGCATATACACTACAGCAACTACGCTACATTCAGGGAATAGTGACAGTAAAGTGCATATGGCGAATAGATTATCGCTGGTGCCCTCTTTATGTAAGAACATCAGATTGTATTCGAACGCAGTGGAGTCGGCGGAGGAGGAAATCATAATAAGTGAAAGCGCGGCTAAGGTATATGCATGTGTTATCTTGTGTTCACTGTTAACTTGTGTTCTCCTGTGGCCGATGCCTGTGTCGTTGTTATCCTATATATCTGGTCATATGAAGTAGACACATACTGAGCGTACAATGCGAAGATATCTAAGATAGGGATATGAACCGTTGCTATCGAGGTGGTTTCATGGTACCCGATTCGCGTTTTTAATAGTTGCAAACTAGTGAAATCTCCAATAGCTTACTAGTTTGACCTTGCAGTGATGGGAAGACGCTATACGCACAGATGATAATTTGGCCTACGCTTATCCTATAGCTTAATGTATACCGTTGTTTATTCGTCTTTAATCCTTGTTTTTATTTGTATGCTTGCTTGCTTGCTTATATGAATGCTTGCATGCACTCCCCCTGAATAACTATTCATCGTGATTTTTGACATCCTTGTGCAGTATAGAGTTCGCCTGCGGTATATATTTTTTTTTAATAATGTACACCTGAACTTAATTATTTGGCACCCATGTGCAATATAGAGTTTGTGTGCGGTATATAAATTCGGAATACTGTACACTTTAACTTGACCATTTGAATAAGTATCCGTTATATTCTTTGATATCCATGTGCAATATAGAGTTCGTGTGCGGTATATACTGTACACTTTAACTTGACTCTGTGAATAGGTATCCGTCATATTATTTGTATCCATGTTCAATATAGAGTTCGTGTGCGGTATATAAATTTGTTTTATTGTGGTCTGGTCTCAGTGGTAGTATGTATAACCCATACTGTACACCTTTACTTAACCCTTTGAATAACTTTATGTCATGTTCTTTTGTATCTTTGTTCAACATAGAGGTTTGTGTGTGATATACAAATTTGTTTTGTTGTGTATCGTCCCAGTGGTAGTATATGTACTCCAAACTGTACACCCTGACTCAATCCTTTGAATAACTATCCGGCACTTTCTTTGGCATCCTTGTGCAGTATAGAGTCCCCGTGCGATATATAAATTTGTTTTGCTGTAGCCTGGTCTCAGTGGTAATATTCGTACTCTATACTGTGCATTTCTACTGTTCATCTTGTTATATAGCTTTTACATGTCTAGATTCGGGAAAGTTTCTGTATGTTTAAGGCGCACACTTGGATGTTTTGTTTGCTATTTTTACTATCAATAGGCTGTTAGATTGCATCCCCACTATCACGTAGGAGCTTCCCAGTCTCTCATACTCACTCAGGATGCTCTGTGTATGTTTCACCTATTGTGATCTGTGCGCGTTTTACCTATTGCGGTCTGTTTACATTTTATTTTACCTATCGTGATCTGTCTAGGGGTTTTTTTATCTCTTGCGATCTGTGTATGTTTTATTCATTGCGAGTTCGGAGCTCTGTATAAGTGCACGCTTACACACCAAGCTGGGAGTTGGGATAATGTTCATTGAGAACTGTCGAGTGTCCGCGCGCTTTCGATCGATTCTCACCTGCCGGCGTGATTTGGGACGTGATTTGGCCCGTGATTGTGAGCACAATAGAAAACATGCCGCGTGCGAACAGGTCTAGTCATGAACGAAGCAATCGTATATACACTGCTAAAGTGTAGGGTATTAGGGGCCCTTCAATTTAATATTGCAAGATGCACAGTCAGCAACGTTACTTTGAAGAGGTGATTCCAGATTTGGACGTTCTCGTCGGCGCTGCCTTTTATCTTGGCTGACTTGACTCAAATTGTTTCATACGCTAGCGCTTAAATCTGCTACAAGAAGATGATAAGGATTTGATATTGCGAGTGGAAGTAGACGGTGGTGGTTGCCAAGGATTCCAATATAATCTCAAGCTGGAGACGATGGCCGACATAGATCCGGAGGAGGATAGGTAAGTGTCTAGAGCTCAATGATCACGTATATGATACAAAGTACGTGGTGTATAACCTCGTGTTAGCGACCTCGATTATGTCGGCCGACTATTCTGTTTTCGCTTTGATTTTCCATTAGACACAGTGATTGGGACAGTTGCGCATTAAGTTGTTCCTAAATGCATTTACACTCGCGTTTTGGATCCTGTATCGGGGTATATTTTGAAAGACAGTTCACCTCTGGAAGACTGTCGTGCGCGGAAAGTTTTTCCAGTTACTGTGTCATAGGTGCAATTTCACCTTTTTGTTTATATGTATAGAATATCTAGTATGAGTTTGCGGCGAAACGCAGCGATAAGTGTGTTTCAATCAATTGAAAGTAGAACACAGATTCATTAGACATCTCAACTGCGAAATACAATCGTTTTTTTAGGGTATACAAGCGCGACGGTGCTACTGTTGTGGTAGACGAATCGTCTCTCGAAACTCTGAAGGGATCTACCATAGATTATAAATCGGTACGTTCCTGTTGAATTCTCTGTGTATTCCATTGATGAGATGGCCTAACTCCTTTCTAGGATGTCCTTGCTTAATAGCTTTTATAGTATATACGACGACTGCGATATACTTTCAAGTTGATAGCAAATCTCACGGCATCATCATCTTGTTCTATCCTGGCAGAGTCTTATCGGATCTGCTTTCTGTGTGGGAGAGAATCCTCTGGCCGACGCCACCTGTGGGTGCAATCGATCGTTCAATATTAAGTAAATTTTCCTGATACACTAGTACGTGTACTTGAGTCATCAAGATGTGGGAATTCATTGTCGGAAGGCGGTGAACGGTAGGAAGGTATCTCTGGGCTATTTGGACGATCCAACACCTAAGAGCTAAATGACTGGTGGTGTATGAGAACCATCGTTATTATCTTCATGAGCCGTGTATGTGGCATGCAAGGTGAAATTGATATTGTTCGGAATTCAGTAGTGATTGTCGAATTTGTGTCTTGAAACGGCGCCCGGTGTCTGGAAATGGCTTCTAGCTGCGGCATGCGGTGTATACGCTCACAGCACGTGTACAAAAACTACCAGACTTCTACCAGAGACAATCGATTTTCGGTGGAGCATAGTCCAGCAGAGTCATAGAATCAACGCTATACTGGATTTGTATATCACGGGCTAACATACGATGCTGCGAATTTTTCGATCATCACTCGTCAGCGATTTGAGTATATTATTTGAATTACGTTCTAAGCTGATGTTGAAAATGGCGAAACGACACTCCCTTCAGAGACGTACGCGTTGTAGAAAGTTGCGAGAGATACTCCTTTAAACTCTCATCTCAGTCAAATTTCGTTAATTATTAAGGACGTGTCGTTAATCTTCAAGTTTGTTCAGGATCCCAAGGACATACCTGGTCTTGAAATATCTGGTTTAATATGCATGTTGCAAATAAAGCACTTGTCTTTAGCAACGCTGTTAACCACACCTTTAAAACTTCTGAGTCGTGTTGCCTATAATAATCTTCAAGTTTGTTCGGGGATAATCCCAAAGACATACCTGGTTTTGTCATATCTGGTTTATATGCATTTTTTTTTAGCAAAGCTGTTAACCACACTCCTAAAGCTTCTGGGTCGTGTTGTGCTATGGCATTCAGTAAAATTATCTAGCATTTTAAGTCTGGCACTCCGTATTCATTCCTTGCTCAGCTTCATTTCTATCTTTCTAAATTGTCACGTCCCAAGTCATCCCAGTATCGGTTAATCTTGCGTGCATAAGGCGATGCCCTGAAATCTAGATTTGCAGTCTTGTGCGACCACTTGTCTTCATTAACATGTAACACTGTGATGTATTCAATCCCTGCTCTTGCATATACATATATATATATAAATGCCATCCGCTGATTCCGTGAGGGTTTAAAGTATAACGAAAGGTCTGGCATGTTATAATATGTACTCCAGAGGAAAGGTTGCACCTTGAATTGACTCTGTCGACCCAACCATATATTGCTTGTGCACTTATGTTTACGGAACTGAATTGAGTCGCGTGAGTACTTTGTATTTACTTGTCTTCATTCACATGTAACACTAATGTATTCAATCCCTCCTCTTGATCTATATATCTATATCTCTATATCTCTATATCTCTATATCTATATATATCGATATATATATTTATATATATATCTATATCTATATATCTATATATCTATATATATATGTGTATGTGTGTGTGTGTGTGCGTGTGTGCCATTCGCGCTATACCGTGAGGGTTGAAAGTATAACGAAAGGTCTGGCATGTTATAAGATGTACTCCAGAGGAAAGGTTGCACCTTGAATTGACTCTGTCGACCCAACCATATATTGCTTGTGCACTTATGTTTACAGAACTGAATTGAGTCGCGTAAATACTTTATATTTTCTAGTATAGTCTAAAAACCGGCAATACTGTTTATTTATTCATAATTTAAGTTAGCGATCCCTTACCTGCTCAATTAATCGTAATGATTCACTCCATCCTAAATTCGCCAAATCATCGCGCGGAATCCTCGTTGACGCCGCTAGTTCGGATTCCGCTTTGACAGCATTCACAGGCTGAGAGCGTTGAATTAATTAGCTGTTATCCTTCAACTTGCTTTGGTTGATGTTGTACGAATGCTTTCTTCTGCTTGTTGACATCGTTTTTGTCGTTTTGGTTCCGTCTCCGGCGGCGGATGACCCCTCCGTACCTTTCTACAAATTGGTTCGGCCGTTTTACCCCATGCTTCTTTTTATATAATCCGCAAGCATTGCAAACTATCTCGTCGGGTCCCAAGCACCGCCACAGTGTTGTTTTGTTGATACCGCAATGTGCGCAGATTGTATCCGGCTTCTTTTCCACTACACGTCCACTCTTCGTCCATTTCCGTTCCGTCGTGTTTACCAAACCGGCTACTGCTTCCCCGGTACTGCGCATAGCGAATATGTTCTGCTCTTGCAAACTATACCTTCCCGAGCCTTTATCGGTGTGCTGCTGCTCAACAGCTGGTGCACATCTCGTACCCATCGCGGTATTCAGCATACTTATGTTAGCAAAACTCTCGGATTTTACTTGGTCTAAAGGCTGTAAAGAGAGCTGTCTATCTGCCATTGTATGATCTAGCTGTATCAGGGATGATTTCAGTTGAGTTGGCCAGTGTTCCCTGTCTGCCTGCTGCATTCCAGTCATTTTTTTATAGTATTCGTGCGATTTAGGTATATATGAGCCTTGAGATTGTCTTATGGAGCTTTGCTCCCCAAATTTGTGTTGCTGATTATATTGATGTAGTTTCAACAAATTTGTAGAGTGTGCTGAAACTGCATTTGTCTGCATTTGTTGGTATTCTCTGCTCAAAAACAAATCAGTCTGTGGAACCACACTTAGATTACTCATCATAGCGGCAGTTTCCGTAGACAATGATTGCGGCATGTTGTATGACTGACCAATGCCTTGATCCTGTAGTGTGTGATTGTACCACTCATCTATTTGATTCCATGATGGTGACAAAATATCAGCAGCATTGTCTTTCAGTGCAGGCGAATGCACTGTGCTTGTATTCGTTGAAATATCGCCTGCGTGTGTATACAGTTGTGGATCTATTTCAAACAACATTGACAACGGGATGTTTCCGAAAGCTAGTGAACTCGCAGTATTGTTGATGGGTACGTGGTCGAATGAAAATCTTTTGAAAGAGCTACCTTTCGTAACTACGTTATGCTCGGGCATGGTGCTTGTGTTTAACAACTGTTCAGGCACAATGTGAGTTTCCTCGACATTACTATGAATTTGAAGGGCCCAGGCCGTATCTGAAGCGAATAAACGGGGTGTATGAGCCTCGTTTGTGACCTCGGTATATACCGAGTTTATATGTTTAGTCAGGTCTATGAAGTAACGGCACGCAAATCACTCGAAGTTCTAGACTAAGAGTGTTTTGCGATGAAATATGCTGTTATTGTGAAACTGACTGCTTGTCATCAGTGGTATTATGAGCAATCCGTGGCATTAGTCAATCATATTTGTAAATAAACGTCTTCTTCACAGAGGCACCCGTAGACTCACTCTTTGAGAAAGTCGCAGACGCAGCATCGTGATTCGTGAATTCGTGACCTGTGTACATTGATTTTTGAAAAATAAAATTGAAAAAGGCGCTGACTGTGTAAATATATGTTTTTATTCTATATTATTTTTATTTTTACTGTTTGAGAAAAACAAAAAATACAAAACAACATCCAATTCCCACCAAACGTTGACTTGCTGAAGAGCAATGTCCTGCTCATCACGACCTCAACAGTCAACTCAACAGTATTGAATATTGACATTTGACGGTTGCAGTCTATTGCAGTCTATTTTCACTACAGATTTGATTTTGCAGCACATATGTAAATTTATTTAAAATACACCATTTTATGATGTACACTATCAGTCATCAGACTACATATATTATTGGGGTTTTTTGTTTTGTTTTTTGCTTTTGTATCCTTCTTTTTTTTTAAACAAATACAAAGGTGAAAAGAGAACAAAACAATCAAACTATTTACAGCTGAAGTAATAATATTAATAAAAAGCCGAAGAGAAAATCATCAATCAATCAGTGATGAGTAACTCGAGGACTGTCTGAATGAAAATTTGCAGCATGTGGATCTAAAATTCTAAAATGTGAAGTTTCCTTTTCGTTTCTATAAAACAATAGAAATATAGCAAAGTATAGCTGTGTATGTACATACTCTTCATATTTGTTTACTATTCTCTCTCTCTCTCTCTCTCTACTCTAAGTAAAGCCTACTAATCTACTATTTACTAGCTCTCTCTCCTACTACTCTCGCTTAGAGAGCAAATACAAATTACAAACGACCACAATATATACATAAATCGGATGACATGTCCCGAATCCCGACTTCCCAAGCCCCGAGTCCCGTAACAGAGAGGCCCATGCTCCCGATTCTCAGGCACACAAACGGGCCACAGGGCACAGGCCACACACTCACAGTGACACGCTAACACTGAAAATACTAAACAGCCGTCTCCACTCTCCAGTCTCACACAGGTGACAGCCCTGGTCTCAACTCTCAAGAGGCAGCGTCCAGCAGAGCCTCAGCCAGAGCCTCAGTCAATCAATAGTTTCCGACCACCGCCGCGACACTTCTAGGCGACTGGCGGCCTGTCCTTTGGGCCTCTCTAGGGCCTGGGGCCATGGGGCCTGGGGCCTACTACTACTCTACTATTAGAGCCCTGGAGTGCGGACTCCCTGGATGCTGGAGCCCTGGGCCTGGATTATTGGATGCCTCAAGTCCTCAACGTTGAAAATTAAAGCTATGTATCTCTTTTCTTTTACAAAAAAGGATCTTATGCTACTAGTTCTCCTCTACTCCGTGGTGCTTTAAAAAAAAGTACTGAAATAAATGTGAACGTTCTACTTCATAAATCTATAACATTTATTTGGTTAGCTTGACTCTTGAATACAGAATAGCACCTGCCATATGTAAATATCAAAAATGGATATATATATATATATATATATATATAATTTAAAACAAATCAATTTGGTCGTTTACGTCACAACCATGGGTGACCGTAAAATTTGTCAAGGAGGCCTCAGAGGCTCAAAAGCTCAGCCTCTAAGCCCTCAACCCTCAGGCCCTCAGCCCTTTTTATATATAAAAAGCTTTATGGCACACACGCACAACAAGGAAGAGACTCCACCAGAGTTAGCCTTTTAAAAAAGTTAAAGCCCCTCTGACCTGTCAGCGAGCCCCTCACTTGGAGTTAGAGACCCAGGCCAGATCTGGCCCAGGCGCCATCACAGTGATCACACCGGCCACCGCCGGTGACATGACTCACGAGTCACACGAGTGATGAGAGTTCTTTTTTCCGTTTTTTTAATTTTATAATATATAATAGACTATATTTTTTTCTAACAAATATATACGAAACAAACGCCTATTTGTTAAAAAAATACATTCTTGAAGAAAAATTGATCGGTCTCTTACCACACTGCCCAGGGCTCTCTTTCTGTCAGAAATCACTCCAATGACAAATCAGAAACGATCCTTCATTTTGCCCTCTCTAGGCCGTCTGGGCGGATTATATTTTGCACCATGGGGACTCGGAGAGTGGATATTTACTCTAGAAAGAGTGAGGAGTGGGGAGAATCTAGTTCAGTTGTTTTTTTAGTAAAAAGTAAAAATAAAAAGTAAAAAGAACGACATTTTATATAACCCTTTTTAAACCAAAATCAATTAAATCTTGTATTGTTTTTTTTTAAATTGAAGATAGCCATACGGTTTTTTTTTCAAAACAAATAAAATTAGTTTATTTTGTCATTGAAAAACAAAGTCTATAGGAAGACCTTAAAAACAACATAGGAAACCCCTTCTGCTCCAGGTCACTAAGGAGTAAGGACTCAATAGCAAGGACTAAAGACATCAGGTATCAGGCCTCAGGGGCCAGGGCCCAGGGCCCAGGCCCCAGGGAGGTAGGGACCCAGGGTTTTGGACTTTGGCCTCAGTTCCGAGTTCGCAGCCTTAATAGCCTCTATAGAGGGCCGGTCAATAAAGGGGGGGGTTTTGTTTTGTTTTTTGAAACATGGTGTTTTTTTTTGTGTTTTTTAGTAAAACAAATTCACAACCCTATCAAATATGCACAACAACAAAAGGGGACAACAACAGCCTTCAGGCCTCGCAAACGGCGACTCACCCCCACAGGCTTTTATTAGGTTGAAGTTCAGGCCTTCTGCCCCAGGCGGCCAGGCCTAGCCCCCACTCCCCAGCAAGGTGAATCAACTTCACAGGCTCACAGTCTCTCACAAGAGACAAGTCTCAAACTCTCTCAGTCTCAAAAATTACACCTGAACTATTGACTACAACACTCATTATTTAACCCTTTTTATTGAGTGTACTCTTTAACACATTATTGACTGACCTGTGTGTACTAAAATAGTACTTGTAAATGTTAGCCTTTTGTGTTGACTGTTGTGATGAATAATGATGAGTTCTTGTTATGTCAATGTGTGCAAAGTAAACTGTGCATTTATTATTACTTCTCGTCTTCTTGCACTCTCCCTCTCGCTCTCTCTCTCTTTTTAGTAGTCGAGTAGAGTTTCTATCATACTCTCATACTGACGCTGACGCCTGACGGCTCTAACCTACGGACGGTAGTCCGTTCACTCCGTTGTGGCTATTTTCTTCTTTTTGTATGTAAAAACAAAAAAACAAAAACCCAAAGAGAACTTTTGTGATTTTTATTTTATTTTTTAATGAAGACTGCAAATCGAATTTATTTTAATAGTGGTCGCAGTCTTCACTGTTCTCAACTTTTATATATATGTTGGTTTTATTTTATAAAAAACAAAACAAAATATGTTTATTATTTTCATGGTACTGTATGTAAGTACATGCAACATATGCCATTTACTGCAAAAAAAAACTAAAAATATATAGTCAAGGACCAAGCATTCCAAATTTCAAACACAACTGTAACATAGCGGCAATAGGTATAAATACTTTTTAAAAATAGCCGCTTTAGAGAGTGGACTCATGACTCATGAGTCATAAGTGTTTACTCTCTCTCTCTCTACTAGAGAGAGTAAATATGTAGGACTTTTGTTTTTTTTAAATGAGAGAGAGGGTCGTTAGGACCGTCAGGCTGTCAGGCATCAACGCGTCAAGTTGTCGACTTGTGTCGGCGGCACAATATTAGCACTTACATACTGGGTTGTTCTTTTTGTTGTTTTTTTTTAAACGATTTAGAGGGTTTAATATGTTCTTTTGTTTTCTATGTATTTCTTTGCTCTTTATTTTTTAAAATATATTGTTTTTATGCCCTACCGGCCCCTGGCGGCCCCTGGCCCTGGTCCCTTGGCCCCTGGGGGCTGGGGGCCTGGGGCTATCTCTCTCACTCTTTCTCTCTACTACTCTCTTTCTAGAGTAGAGAGTAGCATAGCCTTCTGTCTGTTTTAGTAGCATAGTTCCACACTCCACACTGTCTCAGTCCACACTCCACAGTCTCCAGTCTCCACACTTCACACTCCACAGACCAGAGTCCCAGATGGGTCAGGGGCCCAGGCCCCAGGCCCCAGGCCCCAGGGCCAGTCTAACAGACTCCCAGAGACCATAGTCCTCAGTCCACAGTCCACCCCGCTACAGTCTACAGTCTACAATCTACAATCTACAGACAGCTACAGTCTACACTCCACAGTCCACACTCCACAGTCCACACTCCACACTCCACACTCCACACTCCACACTCCACAGTCCACACTCCACAGTCCACACTCCACACTCACAGTCCACGACTCCACGTTTATTGACCAACAAGAAGTGACAAAAAATAATAATTCACAACACGTTTGTGAATTTGTTCGAGTTATATTGTTGCGTAGACAACTCTCGCGTGGAGTGGCCCCGTGCGGCTTGCAGCCGTACATCGTGGTCCGTGACTCCCTGGTCCGTAGTCCGTGGTCCGTGGAACTTTTGCCGCAAAAGAAATTGGTTTGTTTTTGTTTTACTACATGTTTTTTTTATTAAAAGCCACAAGTGCAAGTTTTATGTATGCTTCATAATGCATGTGTAAGTAATTGAGTATTTTAAGTATACAAGTTTTTTTTTTCATTAATCTGATATATGTAATAAAATTTGAAAAGTATTCGCCTATTTTTCTATCAGCAATTCAACTCTATTTACTCTAGAGTAGTGTCGGGCTGTAGGCTTGTACTATGGTTGAGTGTGGTGAGTGCCGACTTTTTTTGTTTTTGTTTATTTTAAAACAAAATGATTAATAAACTTCAATTTACTATTTAGCACCACAAACACGACAACAACTGTGCAAACAATGAAGCAAACAATGAAGTTTACTACTCTCTACTCTTCCACTCTAGAGTAGTAGAGATCAGCGATAATTATGATAATTTTGATAAAACACTCTAAGTCTTCATAAACTCATACCATTGGGCAACCTTTTACTTGCTATACTCAAGGCGGAGTCAAAGCTTGCAAGAATTAGATGTCAATAGAAGTCTCTACTCTCTACCCTCTACAGTCTAGTTTTACACAACAATAAACAAGAGGAGAAATCTTGAAACCACCATACATAGAGCCACCTACATAGCCACCTACGGATGTTGCCACCTACACACGCCACAACAATTAGTGCAACCTACACTTTCCGAAAGTTCCACCTACTCATACTTGTATTATTATTTTTTCCAGAAATAAATAATATTATCCCTACACGCTGCCAAACCGC